TATACGGTCTCATCCGATGGACCGGTCTCCACCTCCCACAGTGGGATTCGAACCCGTGACGTAAGGATCAACTCTTTACTCCGCGACTCTAGAGCGAACGCTCTAACCACTGCGCGACGCTGGCGACTGAAATGATTTGTGAAATATTTGTTAATTCTAGAAATAAACAAATGGTAAGATGGATATAGTTATAATTCATTTTAATGCCCTTTTTTAATTTCATCCCCCCTCACTGCATATCATAAAGTGCAAAAGAATCAAAACTCACGGCCCACGTACCTATATCATCTGATAGAACATGCAGCAATGGATCATAAATTAAATCTTTACAAAGCAATCGAAAAGAACAAAATCAATTTTCCTACGTTGGAAAATTACGTAGATATATATTTGTAATCTAAAATTTATTATAGCTAATAAGTCTTATTTAGTTTCAAAAATATCCATTTCAAAATATTTTTTTTCAGTATTCCAAAGTCGATGAATAGTATCAATAATTATTTGGAATTTGATTTTGAAAATATAATAACTCCTAGAGATTTTTAACCATTTTGCGTGAAAAATCGTGCGTTTCCGTTAGCAATCGTGAAAGATCGTGTAACGTGTAGAATCGTGGACGTGAAGGATCGCTCGTGTAACAGGTTTAATCGTGCGTTAGTCGTGCGGAATCGTTCATGAAATGTAATCGTTCGTGTAAGTTGTCAACAATAACGTTGCAGCCACTGTACCACCATATATGACGTTTTGGCCTTGGAGTTTGACCCAGTTTTGCAAAATTTTACCAAACTTTAACCTTGGCCATAACTTTTGAACGTTTGGAGCTAGAGCTTTCATACTTCACATTTAAAATCCTTGTGACAAGACCTTCCTTTGGATACCAAAAACATTGACCCTTTGACCTTGACCTTCGAGTTTGACCTACTTTTGGAAAACTTTAACCTTTGCGATAACTTTTGAACTGTTGGTGCTAGGGCTTTCGTATTTCACATATGTAATGCTTGTGAAAAGACCTTTCTTTGGATACCAACAGCTTTGACCCTTTGACCTTGGAATTTGGCATACTTTTGGAAAACTTTAACCTTTCCATAACGTTTGAAAACAAATCAACCTTTTCTATATCTATTCAATGGTTGCTGCTAGGCCTTTCATATTTTGCAGGTTTATTCCTCGAGATAAGATCTTACTTTGGGTATCAACATATTTGAGTTGCATTGGAGAAAGTTTAACTTTTGCTATAAGTTGCCATAGGGAGGCATCAGTGTTTCGCAGGTTTCACAAAGACATCTTGTTTAACAAATGTTTGTCGACGAATCAGATTCAACTAATTTACATGAAAGTATAATATTAAGGAATATGATGTCTAACAATTCAACGTGTTCTAGTTAGCATAAAACATGCTACTTTAGCTTACAAGTCACGTGACCATTGAGTATTCACAGAGTTACCCGGGCTAAGAAATCACGTGGTGAATTACAATATTCAACATGCCACAGCCAATGATTCTTTTTTCTCTTTTAAAACATGAGTGCATGCTTGTCTATAAATCTCTTTTTTACACAACATTATTAATGCAACTATCAACGATTGTTAAGCGGAGAACAATAGACAAAATGTACTGACTATATATAAAGTCAATGATAGAGTGGGCGTCCTCATTATCGTACAGAGATGTAAGAAATTTTGATGACCCCCGCCTTTGAAAATAACTTCGTACTTTGTAAAGACATACTTTTATTTAATGTAATTACGTAAAGATGTAGATTAGATCTTCATCATTCCTGCAATTAAAAGAAAAAATGTTTGTTTTGAAGGTTTATTTTGTCGCAATTTTCTCATGTCCTTAAGTGCAGTCATCCTATTGAAAATAGACTTATTACATAGTTCGATAGATTTACAAGTTTTGTAAAGATGTCAGCAGGAAATTTAACACTGTTTTTGAAGAGAAATACTACTCAAAACTGAATTGAAATTATCAAGGAAATTTACATTCAAATCAATAGGAATGCTTATCCAAATATAGCAAATCTCCCAGTTTTAGAAACCCGGCTTCTTTAATCCTTCCTGCTTTAATCGGTTTTCCTCTCTCTCTCTCTCTCTCTCTCTCTCTCTCTCTCTCTCTCTCTCTCTCTCTCTCTCATGGCTGCTATATGGGAGCATCAGTGGTTTACAAATTACAAACATATCTTGTTTGTTAAGATATTACGAAATTGTCTTTTTAAACATCAATTTATATTTCAAATGATATGGTAGATACAAATTTTACTATATTTTTTTCTATATTTTATCAATTCATAAAAAAATTGAGCGTCATTTAAATATTGTACATGCTTACAAAACAGATGGTAATTACTTAACAACAAAAAGCTTTATAAATCAAAAGTATTGAAATGTATACAAGAAAAATATGGTATTGCAAAGGTAAGCTAAAATTGTGAATAGAAACAGTTAAAGTTACAAAAAAAAAAAAAAAAAACAAAGGGGGTTATACTTTTATCTGTTTTTATATACGGTTTTCAAAATCTGCAATGTTCTGTAATCTGTGGGCCATTGCATTCTGTATACTGTTAGTATCCTCACTTTTAAGAGCCTTCGCGTAAGAATTTCGCGATCCATGATAATCACCACATTTTTCTTGACAGATCCCAAGTAAACCCCAAGAAATGTCTCGGAGATGTTTTGGGACGTACCTACCATTGTCAAAGTGAACAAGGAAATAGAGTTTATAAAGTGCTCTCTATCTTCTGTCATCATTGTTAAGCTTATCATAGCATCTCAGGTTTAGCGTATACAGAAAAACAAGAGGAGGGATTCGTAAAATTGGGCTCCCTATTCCTGGCAATGCAGGTATGTCAAAGGCAAGGTATTTTCGTAGAGCATCACATGATATTAATACATCCATAATTACCGCCTTCCTACATTTATACTGCAATGTTTTCCCACTGAATTGTTCCAAATAGACGGAGCCGTTAACTTGTCCATTGTAAATCACATACGGTTTCTTCAGCACACTTTTACACTTGCGAAGTAATGCAATAGCATCTTCATATGATTTGCTCATATACATATACAGTGGCGCCGCGTTTATCCGGACGCCATTTATCCGGACGCTTCACCATCCGGACGATATTTTTTGGGAACCGATTTTTTCCACGTTATTTTGTCTCATTAATCCGGAAATTCGCGTTCCGTATCCGGACGGTCAATTTCTACTACAAAACATAATAGTTCATTGAAAAATGACTCGTTTATCCGGACGGTAATTTTTCAAAAACGACTTTTCACACTTATCTTGCATTCGTGTTAATTGTTGTAAAAACATTGGCCATGCAGTCAGTTTGAAGGCGGTTACCTGTGACCTACAAACAATAGCGTCTATAATTAGCGTGTGTTTACCCCAATTCAATCACACGTTTATCTTTATTATGAAGCTCAAAGAATTTAGCTGACACTGTGCATTAATTAAATAATAATCCGTTCAAAATCATATTGCTAACCGTATATACATCGCTAAATTCAGGAGAATTTTGAAGAGTTGTAAATAAAATGAGCAATAAATACCGAGCGATTTCGTAATGCTCTTTATCATGTCGATTACGTTAGTTTAAAATACGATGTTCCATTTCTAAAAAACGTAAATGTATTTGAAACGCTTTTTTCCCACAAGACAGTATACAAAGGAACATAATAGAAGAACCTATCTAATGTGCTACCGTTTACAAACGTCCATTACATATAAAACTGGCGTTACGTACAGATGTTGATTACGTTTTTCAAGGTATTTTTTAATGATCGAAATTCAAACTTAGCGTCTGTAGAAAAAAATAATATTGATAATCATGAAGATGGCTTGTGTTTACGAATGTTTTTAATACTTTTTTTTTATTAGTTTGCAGTGTTCAGTTAATTTTACAGTAACCCTGTGTAATGAATATACGGGGAATATACCGGGTTAGTTTATATTTGAACATTTTCAATGATGGTGCTGAACAGTTCTGTCATATCATATAAGTTTCAATAATTATAATATATGGCAAAATAAAACAACAGTAGATCAAAATTTGCTCAACCCATGAAGTCACATGTCAAAGAGAAGGTGAATTAAAAAAGGAGGTTTCGGCATAAAATTTGCCATCCATTTTTTTTTTTAATTGTGTAAATTACATTTTACTATATTTTTTCATTAATCAATTACTGCTTTTAAAACAATTAACCGAAATATAATTTAAAAGTTTTTTTTTCTTTGCTGTCACATTTGAAACAAGAATGTGCATATATACATGTACATGCTTATATAGAGAGTGCTTTTTGATATGTGATTCAATTATCCGGACGATTCATTTATCCGGACGATTTCGTTGGGGACAGAGGCGTCCGGATAAACGAGGCGCCACTGTACATTGCTTTGTAAAGAGACGTGCTCAAATCTCCAGTTAGTGCTGAGATTTGTAACCAATTATGGGCAAGTTTGTGTTTGAAATACAAATTTCTGTTGGTTTGACCTTCGACCTTTATAATATTCCTAAAGATCTGAGCATGCAAATACATTGTCAGAGATTTGTTTGCTACTACAAATGATTCACTCGTAAGGAATGAACATGATACGTAATTGGATATATACCAAAGTGCGTTATCATAATTTATAACGTCTGCAAAACCAGATATGTACGAAAATAATGGAAAATAATCAATGCCCGAAAAGAAATGCAAATCATTGTGGATCTCCATATTTTCCACAACTTCTAGATTTGTACTGCAATTAATGAGTTTGTCCTGTTTTAAAGCGTTTCTAATTGAGTTAGAAAGAAAGATGCAGGTTATTCCATGTTCATAGAGAACATACAATCTGTTAAAAAGTCTGCATCGGGAACATTCGTTGAACTTCCCTTTCAACATGTTGTTATCCGGTATGAAAAAATTTGGGATATTACCTTTGTATACCCAATGTAAAATTTTCTTATAACACATCCAAACACATGAAAGAAGGTTTTCCGGTGACCAACCTATAGGGTTTTCTTGTATTTGCCATAAAACCACAGTTTTGACAAAATACGAGCAGATAGAGGGTTCACCATCTTCAGTTACAACCTCCTTGAAAAACATCTTTAATAAGCCGTATGTCAGAAATTGACAATGGTTGAAAGATTTTACCAAGATATTTTCTGCCTTTGAAAATGATATTCTCCACTCGCGACTGGCATTTGCGGATTGTTTGCTTCCTATTGCTACAAAATGGCAACCTTCATTGACAATTATTTGAATGGTGTCCTCCTGAGGCCAAATAGTAGATCTAGTGATCCATTCTGTGGCTGTTGGAGGCCAAAAATTGCCCCTCAAAGAGGATGCGAAATATATTTCTGTTCCAACGTGAGAAAACGTCATGCATGGTCCATGATAACGCATGAATATTCTTGCTACATGCTCATTTATCCCTTGGAAAAGTGCTGAATGGTGGACATAGATATTATTTCCGTCAGAAGACGTGCCTTGGGGTAAGATGCCAAGTTTATTTATCATATTCACAAATAGAGATAGCATGTCACAGTCTATTATAAAGTCTTTATAAAAAGAACTATATGCTGTTTTCAAATAAACAAATCCTGGCTGACTTGGTACACATTTCAAGAAGAGTTTTTCTGGCAAATTTTGAGCAGGAAGATAGTGCTCTATCGATCCGTTTTCTGGAAGCACTACTACAAATTCATGCCAAAACATGATATCAATGTCAGATCCTGGCAGACGAAAACCATCTCTCCTGCTTCCATTTAAAGACCAGTAGAAAGACTCTTCGCCAAAGGAAGGGTTTCTTATGCACCCAGGAATTGTTATTTCTTCTATATCCATAGCAATTCGCCTTGTTCGTACCTCCGTATCACTGCCAATAATATTACACAGGCCCTTAAACATGGACTCAGACAGAATAGATAAAGGTGTCATTTTCCTGCAATAAGAAATAAATTCTACACCTTCATCTTGAAATTCATTTTTTAATCCTTATTTTCTAACTAACGATACACAGTATACCGAGCAATTATTTTGTAATTTAACATCTGAAAGTTAGCAAATTAATTTCTTTGTTTTAAAGTGTTGAGATTAAACTTTTACCGCAAAAAACATTTACAGTAAATGTCTGCGGTAGAACACTGCATATTTTCATGTATTTCTAAGACAGCTGACATGACAATGTTCAGGGTGAATATATTAATCCGAATTGATAAGAAACTCTGCTTTTCGCTTGTCTTTATATATTTTTTGGTAATTGTTTTAAATAACATTTATATCATACCCTGGTAAGCATGAATTGTATAAATAGTTACTGCAGAACTGTATATCTCTGATTAGAAGAAATATTGACAGACTGGAGACCTTTGGTGCCGTCCATGGAAAAAAAAAACTGTATACATTAAAATACGTTAATGCATGTACATGTTATGAAGTTCCCGGGACGGACGATTTTGCTTCGTTATAAACGTAATTCGTTATATCTGTTAAGTTCACAATGTAATTGAAATCCTTGGGGAGTTGAATTCACTTCGTTGTAAGTGTCAATTCATTATAACCGTATTCACTTTAGGTTTATTTACTGTGCATTTATTGCGCACAAAAAATGCTATCGGTTCTTGAATTATTTCTTCCAGTTCTTACCTCAACTGCACGAAAGTTCGATTTCATGAAAAATATTCTTTAAAACAGTGGCAACTATTCTTGTGGTTGACATTTGCACGAAGCACGTTGGGACGATTTGTGTTATCTTACAAAATGGCAGTAAAGAATGGCAGGGAAAATTAGAGATGGTCTCAATTTCACCCCAAAGACCTTCAGGAATTAACAACAGTTATGGGAAATGTTGTGGAAATAGTTAATATTTAAGAAACACACGGTTAGTCCAATTTTGAGATGACAGTTAAATAAACCGAGAAACAGCTCACTTTTTGTGGGCAGAATATACACATTTTAATGGATGACAATGTAGCTCTCTGGTCGTCTATGTTATTAGAAACATAAGCTGCAGATCTATATCTAATAAACAATTACAAGTTATAAATTTGCCGTTCACTCAGAAAAAAATAATTTGACACATGCACATTTGACAGCGGGTGGAAATAAATAATGATGCGTTAATAAAATATCTATGAATTTGAAGAATATATTTGGCTGATTTCTGGTATTTGACAACATTGGCAAATGTACAAAATACCGGATGTTCGGTATTCATTATTAAGAATTCAAATTAAAAGAAATTATTATGTGTGTTAAATAAGGGCACAACGATTGTTTTGGGGGGTGGGGTTACATTTCTCAAATTTTCACTTTTAAGAAATATTGAGGATCGATTAAGTCTTATTTAAAGTAAATTTGAGAAATCCATCAACAATTTACTTTTGAGAAAAAAGCAAATATATATGTTCATTACTACATAAAGGAGTAAAATGTTAGAATTAAAAAGGAACAAACTAATTCAGAGAATTTGTGTCCCCCGTTTTAGAGAAAACAGAAGAGCATGAGCGGGGGGGGGGGGGGCTCCCCTGGATTTGTAGAACTATTTAATGAATACATGTATATTGAAGGAAATAAAAATGCCAATATGGATATAAAGATTTGATTGCTTATTCTATAATATGTGTATAGAAGATTCTTTTTTTATAGAATACTTTTCAAACTGTAATAATGATTTTATGATTTTATACAAGCCAGACATCATAACTTTTTCATTTCACATGCTGAATACTATCATTAAATAAATCCAAAAAAGAAAAAGAAGAAAAGAATCGTCCAGGATTTGAACCCGGGACCTCTCGCTTGCTAAGCAAGAGTCATAAATACTAGACCACGGAGGCACTTGATAGTACAGCAAATTAAATGCAAAAATTAGGTCACATATAATGATTATATTCACGCTCGATATTGTCAAAATTTTACACAATACATGGTGTCTAATTTAGCCTTTACTAAACAGTTCTAATAGATGTAATTAGAATATGAAATCCGCCGACAACCTGTATTATACGTAATAACTCTCGACATGCCCCTGTGCTAAAAATAGTGCCAAGCGACTTTTAATACAAGAAATAAACAAAAAAAAGAGGGGGGGGGCAGGGCACCTTGAGAGGGGCCATGGGGAGTTATGGAATAAGATTTCATTGCAAAAGGTCAAAAGCTTCGATCTTGAGATATCGCCTGGAAACGAAAGTGTTACACGCAGACGGAATATATGAATTTACGACTTGAACTTTGAACTCAAAATCAATATGGGGTCTTCCTTAGGCCACAGGGAGTTGTTATGTAAAATTTCATTGAAAAAGCTCAAAAAGTTTGTCAAGATATTGAGCTTAAACGAAAGTATTAAAACAGAGAGAATTTATTAATTTATGACCTTGACCTTTCACCTTTTGACTTCAAAATCGATAGGGTTCTTTTTAAGGCCAAAGGGAGTTGCTATGCAAAATTTCATTGCAAAAGCTCAAAGGGTTCTCGAGATATCGCGCGGAAACGGAAGTGTTACAGACAGACAGAAATACGGACGGACGGACAGTCAGACCCAAATTAATATCCCCCACTTTCAGTGAAAGCGGGGGACAAAAAGGACATATATGGTCATATGGCTAAGTTTAACTCCGCCATAGCCTCTGATAATGTACTGGTACCTAAATGAAATCTATGAAGATAACGAACAATATTCAAACTCAAAAGTCCATTAAACAATACAAAATAGGAGAGAGCAAGCAGGGACCTCTAAACATCAGAGGTGGGAACAGGAGCCATGGAGGACTGAGCATCCCCTGCCGACCGGTCACACCCGTCGTGTGCTCCTTATCATGACCGGGAAATAACGGAAAAATCCGTCGACAATTCAGTGTGTCAGTACTTGTATGAAGTTTAAAAATTCATTTAGATTCTTTATTTTTTTGTAATAATATTAAAATGTTTGAACATTCCTGTCAACATTTAGGACTCAGGAAAATAGACCACTCAATCCACTTAGTTTAGTTACGTCATGGTCTGTGATAATGTAGTTGCAAAACATTATTAAAATCATAAGTACTTCTGTGAAGTCTGAACATTCCTGTCAACATGAACAAGTTATGAAATAAAATGCTGACTCAGTGAACTTGAAATAAAAGATAACACAGTGTCTGACGCATCTGCTTCATATTTGGATATTTTACAAGAAAAAGACGTGAAAGGTAACTAAAGGGAACTTTATGATAAACCTAATGACTTTAACTTTTCGATTGTCAACTTCCCTTATGTATTACCTACAAATGGAGTCTGTCTCTCAGTTGATTCGACATGCAAGAGTATGCTCTACATACGAACAATTTCTAAAAAGAGGCAAACTTTTGACAAACAAGTTGATGAAACAAGAATATCAACAGTCTCGTAAAAATCATCATTTCGCAAGTTTTATGGTCTATACAATGACCTTGTCAGCAAATAAAATCCATCATTAAGTTGAATACTGACTGACTTTTTTCAAAATAATTATTTACACATCATGATACATCAGGAACACACAGGGTGTGGCCTGTGGACACGGGATGCATACTCATACATGTCACCTGATCCCACTTAAGATGTTTTAAGAGATCCGTGTTTGCTTTGATCCGATTTGTATTTGTTTCAATGGACTTTTAAGTTTGATTAATTTTCGTCATCTCTGTATATTATCCATTACTCTGTTTTCAACTCTGCACGTCCAACAAGCCAGTGACGTCATATACACCTGTTGGTACAGCAAGATCATACGACGGACAATATTGTTACATAATATCGGGTCATAGTCAGAGCATGTTTAGGTTATTTTGTGAAAAACTGAACAGAAACATTTTTCTCTTTTTGAGCATTTAGTAGCACAGTATATCTATTTATGTCTAAGCTTACCTATTGATCTTACCTGTGACAAATAGTTGATTTTCCATTATTCGAAACATGCTTTTTTGTTTGTTCGTTTGTTTATCGTTTCTTTGAGAATATTTCACTAATATTGAGACTCCACCACTTGACGGTGGAGGGCTGCAAATTTAGACCTTTACTTCGCACCTACGACTTTGAGCAGCGATGGATCTTTATCCTGTCAGCACCTTCTGCAAAAAAGCCTTCCTGTGTCTTACCGTGGCCTGAACCCGCGAGGTAAGGATAAGCGCCTAATTACTGCAAAACCTATGAGCAAGCAATCAAAGCATTGTGCCATATATAACTATATATACTACTATCACAATCAATCAAGAGGCCCTATAATGGGCTACAGGTTAAGTTTACATGTGTTACCTTTATTTCACAAAATAATCTAAATTGAATATTTTTTTCTTGATAAAAATATGTCCTCAAGCAAGGTTTGATTCATTGAATGATAACTATAATTCAAAGCACTGAACAAATTTTTGCATCTTTCGCTTCTTGGTTATTAAAAAAAAAAAAAAAAAAAAAAAAAAAAAATAAGTTTTGAATTCCATGAATGATGCAAACTAAAAATTATTTTGAAATTATTTATTGTTATAATATTTAAGTTAATGCTTTAAAACCTTAATTACAAAGAAACAAAAAAAAAAAAAAAAAAAAAAAAAAAAAAGGATAATTGAGCAACTTCAAAATATTTTACTCTTTTAACAGGAAAAGAAAAATAACATGCTTGAAATTTTTTTTTTTCTGTTTAAATACGTATAAATGCAGATACTCTGTTATTAGGTAAATTGATATACTATCTTTAGTCAATAACCTAAATTTTGGAAAAATCATCTTGTTTTTGAAATTGGCATGCGTACATCATGTACATGTATGTTATTGATGTTTAAATTGATTTCGCTTTGTTTAAGGTAATTCGAGAGGTGCCATAAATTACATCTTTAAATTAAGAAGTATTTAACATCTGTCCATTCTTTTTTCATGCATTTACATAATTCTTGTATTTCTCTTTGAATACAAGGAGTTATTTTGCA